TGAGGAGAGGGGTCCCCTTCGCCAGCCCGGGGTTTGCCGCGTTGCGTCAGGTTTGGAATCTGGTGGGTTGGGCCCCCGCTGGGAGTGGGCCTCCGAGGCGGGGCCTGAACTGCGGGAGGGAAAGTGGAGGTAGCTCTGGACCGGGACCGGGCGAGGCTTGGGCGGAGTTGAGAGGAGGGTGGGTGCCCCGCCCTGGGTAGGGTGGGAGTCCCGCCCTGGGTAGGGTAGGCCATGGGCGGTGATCTTTGATCCCCTGCATTACGTCTGGGTGCTCGACTACCAGTGTCCGAGCTTCCCGCTGGAGACCACTGGGGGCTCGGCCCTGGGTGGGCAGGGACAGGACAGAGGACGGGGAGTGGGGCTGTGCTCACCCGGTGCGCCTGGGGGTTAGGGAGGGATCTGACAGGGAGGGTGGGGGAGATGGAAACGGGGTTCCTGGCCGCATAATGCCGTCACTGGTAAGAGCCCTTGACCTCCGTTCCCCAGGGCGAGGCCCTGGAGCAGGCCATCCTCAGCCAGGCGCCCCAGGTGGAGAAGCTCATCGCCACCACGGCTCACGAGCGGATGCCCTGGTACCACAGCAACCTGACGCGCGAGGAGGCCGAGCGCAAACTCTACGCGAGCTCGCAGACCGACGGCAAGTTCCTGTATGTGGGGCTGGGGCTGGGGCTGGAGCTGGGCTGGGCTGGGGCGGCTCAGTGTGCGGCGGTGTTCAGGCCCCCTAGCGGGACCGCCTGGGCGGGATCCAGAGTCTGCTACTTGCCAGCTGGGACGTGTGGCAAGCAGGTGGACTTCTCTTCTTCCCTCAGCAAAGAGTGACTGAATACCTACTATGTGCCAGGCACTGAGGACATGGCAGTGAACAAAGCAGACAGAGCCCTGTCCTTGTGGAGCAGGGAGACAAAAAAGAGGAGCCAATAAATGCAAAGTGTGTCAGGAGGCAGGCAGTGCCGGCTGTCCAGGGGGGAGGGTGGGATTAGGTGGCCAGGAATGGCCTTCGCTGCGTGTAGCTTCTGAGCAAAGACCCAGGAGGTGAGAAGTGAGCTGCGAACTCTCTGGGAGAAGGGGTTCCTGGCAGGTGGAAATGCGAGTACAAAGACCAGGAGTTGCTGTAGCGGGACCGAGAGTGGGCCTCAGAGAGCCCTGAGCAGCCCCCCACAGCCTAGTCACCATCACATCCCGGAGGAGCTGCAGTGTGCAGCCGGCCCCAGTCACCATCACCATCGCCATCGCCGTCGCTGTCGCCGTTACCATCACTGCAACCATGAGCAGCAAGGCCGAGACCCAGCAGGCAGCCCAGTCCCTATCATCACACGGCAACCGTGAGCAGCGAGGCAGCCACCCCAGTCACCATCACCATCACCACAACCACTATCACCATCACAGCCATCACCATCACCATCACCATCACCACAACCATCACCATCACCACCATCACCATCACCACAACCACAACCATCACCATCACCACAACCATCACCATCATCACCATCACCATCACCACAACCATCACCATCACCATCACCATCACCATCACCATCACCATCACCATCACCATCACCATCACCATCACCATCACCATCACCATCACCATCACCATCACCATCACCATCACCATCACCATCACCATCACCATCACCATCACCATCACCATCACCATCACCATCACCATCACCATCACCATCACCATCACCATCACCATCACCATCACCATCACCATCACCATCACCATCACCATCACCATCACCATCACCATCACCATCACCATCACCATCACCATCACCATCACCATCACCATCACCATCACCATCACCATCACCATCACCATCACCATCACCATCACCACAACCATCGCCATCGCCATCACCATCACCATCACCATCAACACAACCATCACCATCAACACAACCATCACTGCTACCAGGAACAGCGAGGCCGAGACCCAGCAAGTGCCCACCACCCCCACCCCAGCGCTGCCAACACCAAGCCCAGCACCAAGGGCAGCGGTGTAGGGAGCGGAGGCCCGGCTGGCCTCACATCAGTGGTGCCTGCAGCGGAGATAAGAAGGTCATGCACCGAAGGTTTTGGAACCAGTAACGTGGTTCAGTGTAAGAAATGGATATGGTTCCATCGACAGGAGCGACACCAAGGCAGATGAGTTTGTACACCAGACTCCCATCAAGAAGAATAACCCCAGGAAGTCCCTTCGAAGTGTAGGCGCTGGAGAGGCTGTGGCGTGTGATGCTGTTGAGGGAGAACAGGTGCGGAGGCAGCAGATGGCACAGCCCAGGTGGAGTTCCAGCGCAAGGCCGTCACTGTGCAGCAGACTGTGACCGTCATAGATGGTCTCCACGTGGCAGGGCCCTCCCCACAATGAGCAGCAGGATTCCCAGGATGGTGAGAGGGGGAAAGAATGAGGGATCGAGAGGCTCCCAAAGGCCAGGCCCGACAGCGCCGGCCCCCGCCTTACCACACGCGGAACCCCTGTGGGCGTGGACCACAGCATTCCAGCCCCCCTGTGCAGGGAGCAGGGGTGGGGGGTGCTGACCACCAGGGTGCAGGAGAAGAAGGCAGACCAGTGAGGACATGTATGGGGCTATGGACCACGATGCTGCAGGGCCCTCCTCTTCAAAGACAGCCTAGGCCAGTGGTTCTCAACCTTGGCTGCACATTAGAATCACCTGGGAATCTTTTTAAAATCCTGATTTCTGGGCCTCATCCTCCGGAAATTCTGTTTCTTTGTTACTAATGTTGTGGCCCCACCCCATAACAAAGAAACAGATTTTCTGGAGGATGAGGCCCGGAAATCAGGATTTTAAAAAGATTCCCAGGTGATTCTAATGTGCAGCCAAGGTTGAGAACCACTGGCCTAGAGGACGGCAGTGAAGAAGATAAGGAAAACCAAGGAGACGAGACCCAAGGTCAGCAGCCCCCTCAACGTCGGTACCGCTGCAACTTCAGTTACCCACGCGCAGAAAACCCTGAACCACAAGATGGCAGAGAGACAAAAGCAGCTGGTCCAGCAGCTGAGAATTCGTCCACTCCCGGGGCTGAGCAGGGTGCGGGAGGAGGGTGTGTGTGGGAGGGGGGCTGAGTAAAAGTGCTGGCTACCATCTCTACCATCAAGAAGAAATGAATATGAAATTCCAGCAGTAAGAAATGGACAAAAGATTGGAGCTGAAGACCTTAAGTGCTCGCTTTTTGCCATTGACCAGATAACTAGAAGGATGTGCGTTGTCTGTGCAGCAGGGGTTTTTATTATTTTTGTCTGAAGACATCTCTTTTAGATAATGACAATGTGTTTTTCATGGGGGAAAAAAAGCCTGGTTTTTTTTCAATATACCTTTAAAGGTTTTAAAATTGTTTCATATCTGGTCAAGCTGAGATTTTTAAAGAACCTCATTTTTAATTTGTAATAAAAGTTTACATCTTGATTTTTTCAAAAAAGTTAACAAATTGCAAGCACCTGCTAATAAAGGTCTTAAATAATTAAAAAGAAAGAAGGAAAGAAAGAAAGAAAGAAAAAAGAAAGAGAGAAAGAAAGGCTAGGAGGCGGGTTTTGGCTAGTTCACAAAACAGGAAGGAGCCAGAGCGCTTGGAAGGCAGTGAGGTCTGAGCGTCTCAGGACCTCATGCATTAATATGTGTGAAGTGGTAGGACAGTGTCTGGCATGTACTGAAAGTGCACCAAATGGTAGCTCTTACTGCATGTGCGTGAATGTGTGTCTGCCCACGTCTGAGTTACCGCTGAGCCTGTGGCTGTCTTCGTTACTGTGAGAGAAGCTGTACAGCTCTTTAAATAACCCTGCTGGGTGTTTGAAAGCCCGCTGGCACTGCATTCTGGTCTGGACGCAGGTCCCTTTGTATACAGCTGTTATCCAGATGTCAGCTGAGGTCACGCTGGCCGTGAGCGCCCTCTCTCCTGTGCCCTCAGGAAGTCCAGCGCCCTCCCCACCATGTCTGTGAGTTCTCCAGGCCTCCCTCCTCAGGCCCGAGTCCCTGCAGGGCTGAGTCCTGCTCTCACGCACCTCTCCTAGGGCTGTCCCTCTCCTGGGACCAGCCCACAGACCCCTGGACCTCCCCACCGTGTGTGGTCTCTGCGTGGGCACCAGATTGCCTGCAGGTCTCCCACAGGAGGCCGGTTCCAACACAGGATGCTGTTGTCAGCCGATAAAATTATTTTTTTTTACCCTAGCAGACTTCGGATAAAATTGCAGTAAAGTTTCTAAGGCTTCGGAGGGAACTCTTGAATGCATGTTACAGATCATGCAAGGAAGGCCTTAGAACAGTACCAGACAGGGCTGTTTTCTCAGGGAAACTGCACTTTGCATTTGTATCGGTTACTGTTTGCTATGTAACAAACTGCTCCAAGACCTACTGGCTCCAAACAACATTTTTTAAAATTGTCACAATTCTGTGAGTCAGCTGAGCCGTTTTCTTTGAGGCTGGGACTGAATACGTTGGGATGGCCATGTCCTGTGTCTGGCTATTGGCCCCATGTCCCCTGGGTGACGGGGAGGCACTGGCCGCAGTGTGTCGCTGTCCAGCAGGCTCGCCTGGGCTTATGCAGTGGTGGTGGCTCAGGGTTCCCACGAATAGTCACAGAGGGAAAGTGACGACACACAGGCACTTTTTAAGACTCTGCTTGTGTAATGTTATTGAGGTCCTATTGGCCAAAGCAGGTCATGTGGCCAAAACCAGCGTCACTGTGGGAGAAGGGACTACCCACAGGAGAGGAACGAAGGCAGCCAGTTTTGAAAAGACCACCACAGGATTGGAACGAGGAGGTCATAATGGAGGGGATGGGCCTGGAACATGGGTGTTTGGGGCTCCTTCTTCCCTCTTGGATTGCAAACTTGAGGGCAGAGCCTGCCCTGGTGCTTCCGGAGCGCCCTCTTCTAGTACGTGGTGAGGGCTGGTATTGGCCAGGTGGCACCTGTCCTCGCCGGACGCTGCACCCTCCCATCTCGGGTGTGGTGCTTGCTAAGACGTTACCAACATTTGGTCGCACGTCTCACGTACATGCGCCCGCTCCCAGGTGCCAGAGTGCCGCGGCTCTCTGGGAGGGTGACGGCTCTCCTGTTGGTGTGGCTGGTTCTTCCCCCTCATCTCGGCTTTGTCCTTTCTGACGTGTGATCTCCTTTCTTTGCATTTGCAGGCTAGGGCTTCCTTCCCTGCTTTCATCTCAATTCCGCTTTTCATCACCTCAGTTTCTGCCTTTCTTCTGTCTTGGTTTTTCTTTCTTTTTCTCTCCTCCCCTCTCTTCCCTTCCTCTTTCCCATATATGGACAATGATCGCACCATTCCAGCGGTGTTAAGTCTCCCCCAACCTTGGGTTACCCAAGGCCCCCTGAAAGTATCAAAGGGTTCTGGGGGAGGTAAGGGGTGGCAGAACTGAGTAGCGCGTGCAGCAAGTAGTCTTCTGAGCCCTCAGCTCAGCTTTAAAAGAAAAAGTTGTTGGTTTTTGTTTTGTTTTTTGAAGAGAGAGAGGAAGGGAGAGGGAGATGGAAATATCAATGTGAGAGCAAAACATTGACTGGCTGCCTCCTGCATGTCCCCCTACTGGGGATCAAGCCCACGACCCAGGTATGTGCCCCAACCGGGAATCCAACCAGCAACCTTTTGTGCACAGGATGATGCCCAGCCAACGGAGCCACTCCAGCTAGGGCCCAGCTCAGCTTTGACTGGTTTCATACCCTAACCTTCCACGGAGGATGTTTGACAAAGAATTCCACGGCCCCAAGGGAAAGTTTGCAGAGGTTTTGCATTGACACAGCAGAGGTTATGACAGGCTTAGCGTTAACCAGTCTGTTGAGATAAGAGGCGTCTCAGGAGAACCAGGGCCAATGGCTTTCAGCACCGAGCGGGTCTATCATGACGACAGGCGCTTTGGAGAGCACGCTGGCTGGAAGGCTCAGAGGCAGGAGGACCAGCTGGCCATGGAGGCTGAGGCTGGAGGAGGTAGCATCTGGGTGCAGTGGAGAGACTGGGGCTGGTGCTGAGGTGCAGAAGCAGCTGGAGTGGTGACGTTCTGAGGGACAGTGACTGATGCTGGGGAGATGTCCAGAGTCCGAAGCAGCTGGAGAGACAGGCAGGGTGTGCTTTGTCAGAAGCTGTCGTGGGTTCTTCTTGTGGTTCCTCAGTCACTAACTGCTTTCTCAGCATGGAGAGAGTTAGGGGCTGGAGGTCAAAGCTGTAGGCACAGAACCTCACACAGGCGTGGAGGTCTCGGGGCCTGAGATCAGGATGCAGGGTGTGACAGAAAGATGCATCCGCTCAGGCCTGCAGTTGAGACCAGGGCCACGCCCACCACTGACCACAGAGAGTGCCCCCACAGTGTGGTCAGTGTGTGCAGGTGTGTGTGGGTAGACATGTTCTCACTGCACAAAGGCACCATCTTTGAGGGGCTCAAAATATCTTTATTTTGGCAAATTTCCAGCAGAGGACAATCAAGGGTCTCATTCTGTCACAGGTTGGTCTGTTACAACAACGGGCGGGTCTGTGATGATGACAGAGTGACTTGTTCTGGTCTGTACAGAGGTGTCCCATGATCTAGTCACAGGGTTGTGCTTACCTTTGTTGCTCTACATGTGGACATGACTTTCCCTAAGAGAATGGTCCCGTCTACCTGTGTAGACCTGTGTGTCCCCTGTGAGTGGCTTTGTGTCCACCATAGATGGCCAAAGAGCCCTCCATGGCTGGCCAAGAGTTCCCTGTGGCTGAGTGAGTGTCCCCTGTGGGTGGCTGAGTGTCAGGCCATGCAAGGCTGAGTGGGTGCTGTGGGAGGCCCAGCATTTCTGTGGGAACAGTCACACATCTGCCCTTGGATGATGGGGTGACACTGTGGTTCCCTCTCTGCTCTCTGACCAGTCTCGGCTCCCCCAGTCCCTGCTGCTTCTCCGTGAGGCTCTGGGGTGCCAAGCCCAGAGGGTGTGTTTGGGGGACCTGGGACCCAGCCGGGGGACACCACGACAGGAGCCCAGGTGGTTGTAGGGGTGACCTGCTCTCCTTGTCCCCACCAGGCTGAGGCCCCGGAAAGAGCAGGGCACGTACGCACTGTCTATGATCTATGGGAAAACCGTGTACCACTACCTCATCAGCCAGGACAAGGCCGGCAAGTACTGCATACCCGAGGGGACCAAGTTTGACACGCTCTGGCAGGTGAGCCGCCCGCCCCCCGGATGTGAGGGAGCCGCCATGGCGAGGTGCTAGGCTCCTGGGAGGAAGGAGCCTGGCCCTGATGCCCGCCCCCTGCAGCTGGTGGAGTACCTGAAGCTGAAGGCGGACGGGCTCATCTACTGCCTGAAGGAGGCCTGCCCCAACGCCAGCGCCAGCGCCAGTGCAGGTGCGTGGGGCCGCAGGGCGGGGCTCGGGAGACGCTGGCCCTCAGCCCCTCACCGCCCTTTCTGTTCCCTCAGGGGCCGCTGCTCCCACCCTCCCCACCCACCCATCCACGTTCACCCATGTGAGTCAGCCAGCATCTCAGAGTTGGGGTCTCTGGGGCGGAGCTGGTATGGGGGCTACGGGTCCTGTTCCCAGGGCGAGGCTGGGGAACGGGAGGAGGTGCCCCATTACTGTCCCTGGGAGTCCTCAGAGGATATGGGTCTCATGAGGGGCTGGTGCCCTCAGCTTGGGCCCTACTAACCCTGTGGCCCCATGACCTTTAGCCTCAGAGACGGATCGACACCCTCAACTCAGATGGATACACCCCTGAACCAGGTGAGCTGGCAGAGGCGGGGGTGTGTGATGGGTTTGGTGCCGGCTGGTGGCAGATCCCTGGCTGGCTCTGGGTGTGCTCAGGGAGACGGGGGCCTGTCCCGGCCCGTGGCAGTTGGCTTGGTTGGCCCTGTGCACACACTGTGCCATCTGCATGGGCACGCCCATCATGCCCACCTGTGCATGTACATGGGTGTGTGCAGACGTGCAGGGGAGAACCCGTGGCTGTGCCTGGGTGCCAGGGCACAGACACACATTCGTTAAGCACCTACTGTGTGCCAGTTACACTCTGAGCTCACTGTGCACATGAGCTCATTGGATCCTCCTGGCATACTATGGGAGGCGGTCACAGTAATTCTCAATTTATAGACGAGCCAGGAGGGAGTAACTCTCCCAGGCCACACAGTAGGCAGTGGGGGGGCGAGACTGGACCCAGGCAGACAGGCTCCCAAGGCCACGCTCCTAAAACGCCCACTGCTGATGCTTGTGTGTTGGACGTGTGGATGCAAGCCTCCCCATGTATGTGCTCAGAGAACATACATGGTTGTGTGTGCACACAGAGGCTCATCTGTGGAGCCCTTGTAAACATGGCTGCCTGGTGCCTACGGAGACGCGGGCGGGCACGGACGTAGGTGCATACATGTCAGTGCACACACAGGCACAGGTGTGCACATTCCAGCTGGCATACTAACGGTTAGACAGACATGGGTGGGAGTGTACATGGATGCATAAGTGTGAACACACAAGGGCACACATGCTTATATGTGCACAGTGATGCATGAGCCTTTGGGGTCCAGTTGGACGTGACTTCCCAGTGCACCCATAGATGGGACCAGGAGTGCACACACGTGCACACACACACGGACCCACGCGCCTGTACATGCTCTAGGTGGTACGCCCCTGTCCACGGTACATGCCTTGTGGGCGCTGAGGCTCCCTACCCTCCCATCCCCTGCCCCCTCCCTCCTCTTGACTGGGAGTGCACGCCTGTGTGTGCCCAGCCCGCCTAGCATCCCCAGAGAAGCCGCGGCCCCTGCCCATGGACACGAGCGTGTATGAGAGCCCCTACAGCGACCCCGAGGAGCTCAAGGACAAGAAACTCTTCCTGAAGCGCGACAACCTCCTCGTAGCTGACATCGAACTTGGTTGCGGCAACTTTGGCTCCGTGCGCCAGGGCGTCTACCGCATGCGCAAGTACGACTGCTGGTGCAGGGGGCGATCCCCGGCCTGCGGAGAGGGGGAGCCAGGAGGTGACATCAGTTTGCCTGGAAAACAGACCCTGGGAGAGGACCTCGCCCTTGGGGACAGCACCTGAGGGAGTGAGAAGCAGCGTGGGGCCGGGGAGGCTGGGCTGGGCTGCAGCTGCTGATCCCAGGGGAGCTGTAGAGGGGCCCCCTGAGCCCCTGCGTCCACCCGTCCTTGGATGCAGGCTGCCCAGGGGGGAGTGTACCTATGAATGGAACTGCTCTTTGCAGTGAGGGGCGGATCCGGGGAGGACTTGGCCGTGCCCTGCCCCGCCCGCACTCCCGGCAGCCAGGGATGAGTGCCTGGGTCTGGAAGGGAGATCTGGGTGGCAAACCACAGCGTCCACTAACCAGTCCAGGGAGAAGGAGCAGGTGGGGGCACGAGGGGCCGAGCAGGGCCGCGCTGACTCGTGTGCGCCTTGGCTTGGGCAGGAAGCAGATCGACGTGGCCATCAAGGTGCTGAAGCACAGCACAGAGAAGGCGGACAAGGACGAGATGATGCGCGAGGCCCAGATCATGCACCAGCTGGACAACCCCTACATCGTGCGGCTCATCGGCGTCTGCCAGGCGGAGGCCCTGATGCTCATCATGGAGATGGCGGGCGGCGGGCCGCTGCACAAGTTCCTCACCGGGAAGAAGTGAGCGGGCTGCGGGGCGCGGGGACTGGGCGCGCCCTGTCCACTCATGGGTGTGCTCCACCTGAGAGCACACACTCACTCTGTTATTACATTTTTGTTTATTGATTTGAGAGAGAGAGAAGGGGGAGAGAGGCAGAGAAATCGATTTGTTGTTCCACTTATTCATGCATTCATTGGCTGACTCTTGTATGTATCCCGACTGGGGATCGAACCTGCAACCTTGGTGTATTGGGATGATGCTCTAACCAACTGAGCTACCCGGCCGGGGCTCACACTCATTCTATATGTTCATAGACACACACCCAACGCGCAGCACCTGACAACACGCACACTCATACCTGCCCCCCCGCACACCCTGACACGCACACTCATACCTGCCCCCCCGCACACCCTGACACGCACACTCATACCTGCCCCCCCGCACACCCTGACACGCACACTCATACCTGCCCCCCCGCACACCCTGACACGCACACTCATGCCCACAGGGCAGAGCCTGACCTCCCTGTCGGACGGAGTCCCAGCTCTGCCACTGGTTGCTGTGACCCCGAGCAGGCTCTTAGCTTGTCTGGGTAGTTTCCTCGTCTGAACCACAGAGGGGATCACAGTACTGCCTCCAGGGCCCTTGTGAGGATCAGATGAGTGGGTACTGATCAAGTGCTTAGCACGGTGCCGGCCCTGCGTGTGAGGGTGAGTACTAGCTCCGAGGGCCGTAACTGTCGCCACCCCAGTTCTCTTGGCCCAGTTCATGACCCACAGGAAATTAGGGGGACTGTCTCTGACCTAAAGCAGGGTCAGCAAACTGCAGCCCATGGCTGGCTTTTGTCCTGCATGGTTTTGCATTTTTAAAGGGTTATAAACAAAAAAGCAAACACAGGGACACATGGCAGAGGCCACGTGCAGCCTGCTGAGGCCAGAATATTCCTATCTACCTGGCCATTTACAGAAAAAAACCTGCTGCCCTCTGATCTAAAGGTCATTTGTGCTCCCTCAGCCGCAGGCTCTTAGTCTCACAGTCTCTCACACTCACCAGGCAGGTGCCCGCCAGCCATCCTGGTGTTGGGCCAAAAAGCAAACACAGGGACACATGGCAGAGGCCACGTGCAGCCTGCTGAGGCCAGAATATTCCTATCTACCTGGCCATTTACAGAAAAAAACCTGCTGACCTCTGATCTAAAGGTCATTTGTGCTCCCTCAGCCACAGGCTCTTACTCTCACAGTCTCACACTCACCAGGCAGGTGCCCGCCAGCCATCCTCGTGTTGGGCCGGCTCATGCATCCAGTCACTGCACAGGTGTTCAGGCAATTTCTCTGTGACGGACTATCACAGCCCTTGGGATTTGTCAGTGGACAAAAGTGGCAAAGATCTTTGCCTGCATTCTGGCTGGAGAAGAGAGGCTTTAAATAATTATACAATAAAGTGCTGAGTATGTCGGGAGATAAGTACTATGGAAAAGGGGTCGGGGGTGTCAGGCTGGGAGGAGAGAAGTGAGAAGGTGAGGTTTGTGCAAACAGGGAGGCAGCCGAGCACAGCTCTGGGGGAAGGGTTTTAGGCAGAGGGCACAGCCAGTGCCAAGGCCCTGAGGTGCCCCCAAGCCTGGTGCTGTGGAGGAACAGTGAGGGGGCCTGTGGCTGGAACTGATGTGGGTGAGAAGGTGATGGGTCGTATTTTGCAGGGCCCTGTGGGGGCGGGGAGGGCTTGAACTTTGACCTGAGTGAGATCGGAACCCTGTGTGGCTGTGAGCAGAGGAGGAGGACCTGGCTCTTCTGTGGGGAAGACCCAGGAGGGCGAGGGCAGAGGGGACTGTTCCGGTCCAGTGAGTGAGGACGGAGGCGGGACCAGGTGCAGGAGCCACGGTGGGAGAAGCAGGAGGTGCTGGAGGGTCCTGAAGGCAGCAGAGCTGATGGCTGGATGTTGGGTGGGAGAAAGAGCAGCTGAGGGCAGGTTTCTGGCTGGAGCACATGAGAGGAAGGAGCTGCTGGGGGGAGGGGAGGGAGGGGCCGCTGTGTGTGTGTGTGTGTGTGTGTGTGTAGCTTAGCTTTGTCCTTAACCATCTTTGAGATGCCCTCGGGCCCCAAGGGACCGTGGAGGGTGCAGACAAATGATTAGTTTGGGAATCGTAGCAGGTGGGTGACATGGACAACCTGGACCCGCAGGAGGGCAGGGCTCCCCTGTGGCTCCCGCTGTGTGCCCAGCCCCTGCCTGGCACAGACAGGTGCTCAGTGAGCATGAGCATGTGCCCAGCTGGGGTGGAGGCGCGGGCCAGGCCCCCGGGGAGC